AATGTACATTACAGATTGGGCATCCCTTGTTGGAAAATCTGAAGTGCTCTAAAATCAGAAACATTTTGAGCACCAATGTGATGCCACATGTAAGTACTGTACTTAACACGAACTTTGTTTCACATACAAAATTATTTTAAATATTGTATAAAATTACCTTCAGGGTATGTGTATAATGCATATCAGAAACAAAAGTGAACTTCATGTTTAGACTTGGGTCCCAGCCCCAAGATATCTCATTTTGTATATAAAAATATTTCAAAATCCAAGATAACGTGAAATCCAAAACACTTTTGGTACTAAGTATTTCAAACAAGGGATATTCAATCTGTATTAACATTATTTTGATCTCTACCAGTTAGTAATCCTATCTTAATCCATATAACTTTTTTTTTTGAGACAGGGTCTCACTCTGTCATCTAGTCTAGAGTGCATGCAGTGGCATGATCATGGCTCACTGCAGTGTCGACCTCATGGCTCAAGTGATCCTCCTACCTCAGCCTCCCAAGTAGCTGAGACTACAAGCAGGAGCCTCCATGCTCAGCAATTTTCTTTCTTTCTTTTTTAATAGAGATGAGGTTTCCCTATGTTGCTGAGGCTGGTCTTGAACTCCTGGCTCAAGTAATCCTCCTGCTTCAGACTCACAAAGTGCTAGGATTACAGGTGTGGGCCCTGCATCCAGCCCATATAACTTTTTAAACACTTAGAACAAGAAATTAAAAATTCAGTATAAGAACATATTTTGTTACAAAGACGCATAATAGGTAGCTCAATAAAAGATTTCCAAGAACAAGGAAAAAATTACATTAGGATTTGCTGTCAGGGTTGAGCACGCCAAAAAAAAAAAAAAATCTACATGGGGAGTAGAATAAAATATTAATTCAAAGGGGGAAAAAAAGAGCAATGTAAAATTTCCAACCATTAAGAAAGAGATTGTTTGTATATTTTTTAATAATGAGTGTCAAAACATTATGGGATTTAGATTAAATTGAACATATGAGTAATTAACAGTTTTAAAGTGTTAATATGGGAAATATGTTGGAAATTATATATTTTTTGCAACTATTTGGACACATGTTGACAATTTTAGGTCTACCTAAGTCTATGGGAGGAGGTGTATGACATTTTACAATTGTTGTAGGAGAGATGTGAAGGGAACACCATCGAGCTATTCTTCCTTCTTCTTGTGTTATCCCAATAGGAACATGGACTTACAACTGGAGAAGAGAAGCTAGGTGTCAGCAGAGACATGATGGAGTGGACATTTCTTTCAGCCTCTTACCAGGAAGTCCTCTCAAACTGAGGAAGAAAATACTAAGGGAGAGACACACTAGTCCTAAAGCCCATGCGTTTGTTTTTCTTTTTTTGAGATGGAATTTCACTCTTGTTGCCTAGGCTGGAGTGCAATGGCACTTATCTTGGCTCACTGCAACCTCCACCTCCTGGGTTCAAGCGATTCTCAATTCTCGTGCCTCAACCTCTCAAGTTGCTGGGATTACAGGCATGTGCCATCACTCCTGGCTCATTTTGTATTTTTAGTAGAGACAAGGTTTGTCCATGTTGGTCAGGCTGGTCTTGAACTTCCAACCTTAGGTGATCTGCCTGCCTCAGCCTCCCAGTGCTGCAATTACAGGCGTGAGCCACCGCGCCCTGTGTCCATGGCATTCTTGAAGGCCCACCGCACACCCCAAATTACCAAACCCCAAAGCTTTCTTCAACTCAGTAAGTTGTCCTTTAATTTTCAGCAACTCTTCCCCACAGCAGAAGAACCAGTTTTTCTTTTCCCTCATAATTTGAAACCCTCCCCCTAATTTACTTGAAGATGAGATAGTATCCTCTTTTATTACCAGTGAAAGTAAAATGACCTAAGAAGAGAAAATAATCTGTGTGAGGCCAGGGTAGAAGTAAAGTTGTGGGTCCTCAGATAAACAGTTAGTCTTACACTTGAAGCAGGATAAGTAATAAATGCCAAACCCAAGGCAGAAACTACACACATGGAGGAAAAGAGACTAAATGCCTCACATTAGACATTCACATTCCAAGAAATCTTTCTTACAGCAGTGACTTTCCTACTATGACCAATTTCCTCTGACTCCAAATTTACTCCTTATTTACACTTGGGTTAGATATTCCTTTGATTATCCAATCATACTTTGTATAGTACCATTTATCCATGCATACATGCTCACCCAAAGAGTTATTTTTTTTTTTTAATGGAATCTAGGACCTAGTTTCCCTCCATTGAATCACTGGTGAAAAATTTAGTAAATCTAAGAAGAGAGTTTAGTAAATGTAAGAAGAGTTTGCTCACTGTGTGTGATATTCCTATAGATTCATGTCTTCTACACACAGGGATCTCGTGGATATAAGGGAAGCATTTCTCAGGTGGCTGGGTGACTTTCTGGTCACCATCCAGGTTTCTGGCTCAGCTTCTCAGGCCCCTGTGAATAAGCAGAGGGGATCATCCACATCCAGACCATGATCCACATCCAGACCAGGCTACTGAGGCTGAGACCACAGGGGCTGGCCATGCCTAGTAGACCTGACACTGGACACTGAGACTCCTGGAAAACCTGTGCTGCTAATTTTGCAGTTCTCCATTTTGACTGCTTCTCAGACTGACCACCAGTCTGTGAGTGTTCATCAGCCTCCTGCCTCACCTCCTCTAACTCAAGCAGCAACAGGGACTTGCTTGCATGCGCTGGTCTTGTAGGCAGTGACTTTTCAGCCATATCCTCTGTCTACCAGGCTAGACTTGCCTGCCTGAGAGGCATACTCCTTCCATTCTCTATTGTCTATCTATGAGCCACCAACTCTGGCCCTAATGTGTCAGTGCCAGAATATTGTGCTCATCTATTTAGAATGAGAAACCCATAAGGCAAACTGAAGAGGCCCTGTATCCTCACTCCCTTTCTGCTCAGCTTTTTCACCTATATTATCTCAACTTCACTCTACTAACCAGAGTACCAAGGAAGGGTAGGCTAGCAATTATGTCTGTGGTGACTACAGAGAAGCAGGGAGATGACTTACGATCCTTTGCACTGGATCGCTGGTCCTGCTGAAGGCATCTGATAGCTTCTGATTTCCCTGGTCTGAGAAGAAAGTCCCTCTCTACCTCTCCCTCCTTACTCTACACCTCAGGATGAGGGGCTCAGGCAGCCTTTTATGTTGCATATGGCATAGGATCTCTGCCTCACTCCAGAGGAGACCAACAAATAGCCACCTACTTCTGAGGTCTAATGCCCACAGACCTGGTGTTCATATATTTAAGTTCTGGATTTAGGTCTTCTTTCCTGTAGCCAGGTGATCAGTGACAGGCAAAAATCAAGAGCCCAGACTTCCAGAGTAACCTCATCAAGATTGAGGTAACAGCTCACACAGCTAGAGCATAGACAGATACATTAGGTCTGAATCTTGTACACCTACCTCCCTTTGGGACTGTTGGGATGCGCAAAACATGGGATTTCACTCACAGTTGTGTTCCTAATGTATGACATTTCTACATATTCTTGTCCTCTAAACACAGGGATTTTTGATCATTCTGAATTGTTGATTCCCATAAAAAATGAATACATGGTCATCACTGTATACACTACATTACTGAGTATATATTTATGACAGTCTCCACACATCTTCACACCTGTGAGTGGAAGAATTTCCCACTAATTAGCTTCTGATTCCCCACATTTCAAACTTCATTCCTCTTCCACCTCTGGCACTGGGTGTAGCACGGCTCCTTAGTGCTCCAGGCCAGAAGAGGTGGCGCAGGGGTAAAGTCATTTGTGGTGGGGGAAGGGGAGTTTGAAGAAAAAAAAGAGAGAAGATTGCGGGGGCGGGGGTATACAGCGAGGGTTAGGAGAAATTCCGGAGATACGGTCTACTCAATGGAGGCACATGTAACCAAGCTGAGAAACGACATAATACCCAACAGAGTTGGGAGATGTGAAATCCAAACATCGATGTCCAACTAGGCATAGAGGAAATACTCAGATTTCCAAGCAGGTTCGAGGTTCAGAGGAGAGCACGCTGGGTTGGAAGCGGTGGTCTTGCAGGATGGGGTGGGGGTGATCATGCAAACTTCTGGTCCAGCAGAGGTAGAAACAGACCAGGTTCAAATAGCAGCTTAGAGGCAGCGGACTTGAGGGATGAAGACGTGAAGCCCAGAGGGTGGTGCCTGGCAGAGAAGACAACTGCCGGACACCAAGGCCACCTCGGGTTAAAGGGAACAAGTTATAACCAAACAAACACGGTGAAAATAGGAAGAATAAGAATATCACCCGGAGTGCTCTCCTGAGACCCTCCCCAAGAACATGGATTCTTTAACGATTCCTCCAGAGCAGGGACACTCAGAATACATACATCTCTCACAAAGTAAAGGGTCTGAGGGCCTGGGCAGACCCTTTTCCCTCCCCTTCCCTCTCCTCCACCGGCCGGCCCCGGAGGAGCATCAGGGACAAGAACTACTCTCACTGCTGTGTCCCACCCCACCCCAACGAGAGGGGAATCTAGAGGTCTGTATCCCTCCTTCACCACCCCAGCTGGGCGCCTTCTGGAAGACACAATCACCGTCCCAAATTTCACCATGCGACCGCATCCGAGCGTTTTCTCCAAGTGTTCGGGGAGCCGCCGGAACTCTTCTTCCAGGCAGGCGTTCCGGGACTCTGCACATTAGGCACTTCCCCTGGGGATTCTGAGTCCCAGTGTCTGCCTCTGTCCAGGCCCGGGTGCAGACCTTTCAGTGCGGGCGACGGGAAGTGCTAACAAGGAGGACCGCTCAGGTGTGAGGCCCCTACGGCTGGCGCGCGGACACATTGCATACGTGGGACCCGCCCCCGCGGGCGTGCCCGGGGCGCTCCAGCTCCGCCCGCCTCAGACGCTGAGGCCATGATTGACCTTGCTGAACGTCAATCAGGGCTCGGCGTCGTGGAGGCGGGAGGGACGCCGCAGGCCCCGCCTGCTTAACGCCCCTTGGGGTTATTCTCCACCTCCCCTAGGGGAGTCCCACGCTCGCGAGTCCTTTAGGGGGATCCCCGCTCCCTGAGATGGTCGGCGCCTGGTCGTCGCGGCCTCGCGCTGGTTGAAGTAGAAACTTGGCCCTGGCGGGTCTGCGTGTTCCTGGTCTCAAGGCCGTGGTTCAGGTACTGCACTTCCTGCTCCTCCAGTCCCAGCTCCCAGGCTCCGTCTTCTCTCGCGCGGCGCTAGAGAAACACCCGGAAGAGAGAGTCCCAGAGTGACTGCTGTGGCCCCGCGACCTGACTGCCACTGTCCAGGACTCTAGCCCTGGCTCCCTCTAACCTTTCCGCCCCTCCGTGCCCCAGGGGGGCTGCTACGCCGACAATTACTTGTCAGCTGGAAGAAAAGGAGGTGCCAGTGTTAGGAGCATAAGAGGGTTGGACCAGGAAAGCAGGAGAGGGGGAAGAGGGGACGCAGAATAAGTGGGAAGGAGTAACAGCTCGAGCTTTAACTGTAGGATAGTTTCTCTTCTCTTAATCCCGCCCCAGCTGCTGCTTCTAGCCTCAGTTCCCCACTCCTACCTGTGCATCTCTGCGGTGGGCGAGTGAAGGAGTGGGAAGGGGGCTTTTGGTCGGGATATCTGGTCCTCCAGACCCCACAGCCTTGTCTGAGAACTTACTTAAGCCCATTCCAACTGACTTGATAAATAAGAATCTTGACCAGCCCTGCATCTTCCCCATTGGTAGGTAGAAATGAGGGACGTCATTTGTCCCTTAACGGAATAAGCTGAAACCGCAGGTCATGTGGATGTGGGAATCCACAGCACTGGCTGCGCTCCTAAGGCTCTAGTCTACCTCCAAACCTCATCTAAGACCCTGAGAGCCAAAGTAGGGATACATTGGATTTTTTTTTTCTTTTCTTTCTTTTCTTTTTTTGATACAGGGTCTTGCTCTGTTGCCCAGGCTGGAGTGCAGTGGTGCGATCTCGGCTCACTGTAACCTCCGCTTCCCAGGTTCAAGCGATTTTCGTGCTTCAGCCTCCTGAGGAACTGGATCTACAGGTGTGCGCCACCACACCTGGATAATTTTTGTATTTTTTTGTAGAGACAGGGTTTTACCGTGTTGGCCAGGTTAATCTCGTTTTCGTTTCATTTTATTTTATTTTTAGAATAAAATAGAATTGAAAATACTTGCCTGCATCACAGGCAATCAGAGTAACTATAGTTTCATGAAAACTTTGTTTCTGTTAAATATGCTTTTGTGTGTGTGCGTGTGTACACACACATGCAGGTTTTATATATATATATATATATATATATATATATATAATATGTAGAGAGAGAGAGGTGGAAATCAAAACAAAATAAAACTCCATAATTTTGTTATTTTCTAATAGTTCTTGATTTTGAGTAAAAATAATTCTTTAAGAACAAAGTTTTGAGCCAGCTAAAGAAAGATCAGAATCAAGCAGGCTCCGAATGAGGCCTAGAGGTTTTTCTTATTTGGCTTTTTTTTTTTCTTTTCCATCTTGTGGGCTCCTTTTAAGGCCTAGCAAGGAATTACCCTCCCCAAGTCTCCACTCCCTGTTTGGTTCAGCCATTCAACCATCTCTCGGGCTCCTTGATAAAAAGTTCAGCCGGGCATGGTGGCTCACGCCTGTAATCCCAGCACTTTGGGAGGCCAAGGCGGGTGGATCACGAGGTCAGGAGATGGAGACCATCCTGGTCAACATGGGAAACCCCGTCTCTACTAAAAATACAAAAAATTAGCTGGGCATGGTGGCGCGTGCCTGTAATCCCAGCTACTCAGGAGGCTGAGGCAGGAGAATTGCCTGAACCCAGGAGGCGGAGGTTGCGGTGAGCCGAGATCAAGCCATTGCACTCTAGCCTGGGTAACAAGAGCGAAACTCCTTCTCAAAAAAAAAAAAAAAAAAGTTCAGTAGAGCCATTTTATCCTATGCCTGTATGGGATGAGATTTTTCTGATTTGACAGAGAAAATTCACAAATCACGTTACCTTTTGAAGGCAGAGATTTTAAACTCAAACATTATCACCAGAGAACTAAATTATTAAGAAAGATGAGTTGTCAAAAGTATGTAAGTTTTACAGCATTAAGGATCGTTTTGTCAGGTCTTGTCCAAAATATTTGAAGTCTAGAGGTTTGAAAAATTGTTAGAAATAATAATTTATGATGACAGTTTTCAATTATTGTTCTCCCCAGCTTTAGGAGCAGGGGAGAACATTTTTTTCCTTATCTTGCTGAGAATTTTTTCACCAGTGTTTCAAGGCTAAGAACTGAAATTCCAGTATTGACATTGAATTAAAAAGAAGCAGGCCCTTTTAGGAAGTCAAATTTTATTATATGAGATGGAATATAATATTGAGATTACTTATTACTTAAGCATGGGATGGGGGCATTTAACAACAGACCAAAAAACAAAAATAAAGTTGGAAGAACAGGAATGAAAGAAAGCAAACTTTTATTATCCATAGATGATAAATTATCTACAGAGAAAAATAATTTAAAACATAAGAATTAAGAGTTTGGCACAGTGGTTGGCTAAATATATAAATCAATTGCATTTTCTATAAAAACAAAAAAGTAAAAATGTGATTAAATAGTTAATAAAATATAACAAACTTCCAGTACAGTTGACCTTTGAACAACATGGGCTTGAACTGTGCAGGTCCACTTGTATATGGGTTTTCTTCTGCCTCTGCCACCCTTGAGACAGTGAGACCAACCCCTCCTCCCCTTCCTCCTCCTCAGCATACTCACCATGAAGACATGAGGGTGAAGATCTTTACGATGCTCCACTTCCATTTAATAAATAGTAAATATATTTTCTTTTTTATTTTTATTTTTGTAGAGATGGGGTCTCGCTATTTTGCTGAGGCTGGTCTTGAACTCCTGGTCTCAAGCAATTCTCCTGCCTCAGCCTCCCAAGGTGCTGGAATTACAACCATGGGCCACTGCACCTGGCCAACATTTTCTTTTTTCTAGCTTACTTAACTGTAAGAGTGCAGTATATAACAAATAAAAATATAAAGTATATGTTAAACAACTGTTTATGTTATTGGTAAGACTTCTGGTCAACAGTAGGCTATTAGTAAAGTTTTGGAAGAGTCAAAATTATATGCAGATTTTTGACTGCACGGCTGGTCAGCACCACCAACCCTCACATTGTTGAAGGATCCACTGTAATGAGGAATAAATTCTCAAAAAGGAAAGGCATGCAAGATCTTAGTGGGGAAAATTAAAATCATTAAAAGAAGTCAAAGAGCACAGATGGAGAGATATATTCATGGTCAGGAGGCATCAATATCATAAAAATGCCAGTTTTCCCCAACATGATCTGTAGTTTCATGCTATTTCTAGAAAAATTTCAACAAACTGTTTTATAGAATTAGACATAATGATTTAAAATGAAATGAAGGAGCACAAGTTCAACAAGAGCCAAAATACCATTGAAAATAAAGAGGAAGTTGGGGAATTTCCTGACTACATCAGAAGATATTATATGCACCACTGGATTTAAGACCATGTGCTATTATTGGTGGTGGGGGGAGAAGACAACTGGGCCAATAGAATAGAATGGAAAGTGTGTCAGGACCCCTTGTATATGAAGAATGGTTATTAAAGACCAGTGGGTAAAGGATGTATAATTCAATAAGTTTGAATGTATGACACTAGATTAATGGATATATATACACCATGCATAATAAACTTCAGATGAACTGAAGACTTACTGAAGGCAAAACTGTAAAACTTTTTAAGTGAAAATGTGGAAGAAATATTTGTTTGACTCAAAGGCAGAAAAATATTTATTAAAAAGGCGCACACATACAAATTTTAAAAATATAAAAAGATAAATGAATTTGACCACATTAAAATTCGAAACTTTTGTTTATCAAAATAGACTCTAAAGAAAAAAAAAAGCCAGAAACTTACTTTATTTGTACCACACATAATTTATATAGGATCAATATCCAGAACATCTAAAAATAGCCCCATAGGAAAATGATCAAAAGATGTGAAAGGGCAGTTCACAAAAAGGGATATATAAATGACCAGTAAATATTCAAAAGGTGAGCTCACTCACAATGGTTGTCAGAGGATTGTGAATTAGAACAGCCCTTGAAATAACATTTTAAAATCCCTAAGTAGACAAACATTGAAAAGTCTAACATTATCAAAAATCAGTGAGGATACAGAGTGAGGGGAACTCAGACTCTGATGGTGGACTTCAAACTGAAATAATCTACTTGGGAAAAAAGTTGGTATTTTGTAGAGTTGAAGCTAAGTATATCTTAAAGCATAGCTGCTCTACTCTTAGGTATATATGCACCTTAGGGAAATTATTGAATAAGGCACCAAGAGCAATGTGCAGGAAAAGTCATGAGAGCATTTTTTTGTAATTGCAAAAAGCTAAAAACAACCCAGTGTCCATTTGCAGGTAAACTGATACACAAATTTTGGTATAATGTGGATTTCTTTGCAACATTGAAATCAGTGGAATACAGACAGATACAATAATTAACTTACATAATTCTTAAAATCACATTATTGAATGAAGCAAACAAATAACAAAAATACATTATGATATTAATTATTATGTTAATTTGTTGTCAGAAGCAAAGACAATATTTACTATGATGAGTGAAAAGCAAGATAATTATCAACTCCAAATGTGGAATAATAGTTGCATTTTGCAGAGAGGAAGGGAGATTCTAAGGGAAGACAAACACAGGAAATTTTAATGTTAAGGGTAATGTTCCATTCCTTCATGTGACTGGCAGGAAAAAATGGATGTTTAAAATTCTTGAAGATATGCATGATATGCATTATTTATTTGTAAAAAAAATTTCAAAAACCAGATTCATGAGAAATAAGAAAAGGAGAAAGATGTATAAGAAATCATTTGTACAGGGATAGATGTAACAAAGACAATTTGATTAAATTATTGAGACAGAAGAATAAAAAGTGAAAAAGCATGGTACATACAAAAATATAAAAATATGGCAGAAATAATCCAGATATATATGCATTTGTAGTCCCCATTTATATCATTGCATTAAATCTAAATTTTTCTGCTGCTCAGTAAAGGGGTGTGTGTGTGTGTGTGTGTGTGTGTGTGTGTGTATCTACCTTAGCTGTTATTTGCTATTCAAAAAGTGCTGGTGGCA